TAAAGCATAAGGTGCAGGGGCTGGAGAGATGGTTCAGTGGTTAAGAACACTGTTCTTGCAGAAGGCCTGGGTTCGAATCCCAGAACCTACATGGCAGCCAACAACTGTCCGTAACTCCAGTTCCAGGGGGTCCAACATCCTCTTCTGTTCTCCATAGGCATTGCATGACATGGGTGCACTGACCTACATGTGGGCAATACACAAATACACATAAAATAAAAATAATAAATAAAAAAAAGGTGAGGTGCAAATAACCAAGAGACATGGAAAACAAAAACAAAAAAAGCTCAGCATCTTTAGTGAGAAACACACGTTCAAACCACGCGTCGGGGCTGGAAAGCTGGCTCAGTGGTTGAGAGCACTTGCTTTTCTTCTGGAGGACCAGGGTTCAGTTCCTAGCACCTATGTGACAACTCTCTGTGACTCCAGTTCCAAGGGATTTGACACCTTTTTCTGGTTTCCACGGGTATTGCATGACATAGGTACACTTACATCCATGGGGGAAATAGTCATAAAATAAAAATTAATTAATTAATTGCAATTAAAAATTTAAAAACCATTGTTTTTACCAATCAGAACTGCTATCATTAAGAGAACAAACAACAAGTTCTAAAGATATGAAGGAAAGGGGACTCTTACCCACAGCTGTAAGAATTGCTCCAGTCACTACAGACATCAGCATAGAAATCCCTTTAAAAAACTGAAAATAGAGCTGCCGTAGGGCCCTGCTATGCCACATCTGGGCATTTACCTAAAGGAGTTTAACTCAAAATATCACAGAGATAATGTCACATCATATTTATTGGAGTTCTCTTCACAAGAGCCAAAGAGCAGAATAAGCCTAGGTGTCCGTCAACAGATGGATGGATAAGATAGTAGATATACGGAGTAGAGTTACATCCAGCCATAAAAATGAATGAAATTATGTCATTTGCTGGAAAATGGATGGAACTGGAGATCATTATATTAAGTAAAAGATGCCAGATACAAAAGACAAATAACATGCTTTCCCTCATTTGTGTATTCTAGGATTCTAAGAATTCTTTATAGACATGGGTCTCTCTCTTCCCTGCCCCCTTTTCTTTCTGCAAGGGGGTGTGGGTCTGTGGGTATGATATGTGCAGAAGGGAAATTCTGAAAAGGAAGGAGATCAGCAGGAGCAGAGGTGGGAAAGGACCGGGGGAGAGGATGGCGTGAATATGGCCCAAGTACATGGCATGCCTGAAAGAAATTATCTTTATGAAATATGTGCAAGAAATATCTGCCAATAAAAAATGAAAACAGTAACGGGGATTTGAGGAAACTTTAGAGCAGCCAAATAAAAATGAAATGAGATTTTGCATGGATCAAAATGGTAGAGGATACAGGAAAAAGATTGGGAAAAAATTGTAGCAAGAAATTTTCCAAACTTAATGAAAACTTCAAAGATGCATGTCCAAGAACCTCAGTGAAATCTAATCACAATATGAAAAGTATACACAAAGAAAACTATACCAAGGCACATCATAATGAAATTACTCAAAACCAAGGAATAGTAGAATGCCTTACAAGTGGAGAGAGGCCAGCAAGATGGTTCAGTGGGTAAAGGGAGCTTGCCACCAAACCTGACTCTAGGAGTTCATTCTCCAGGACTCACACAGTGGAAGGAGAGAACTGATTTCTGAAAGTTATCCTCTGACCTCCATGCGTGCATCATGACGCACATCATTCATGTATATGTGCACATGCAGACACGCAAACACACAAATAATAATAGTAAACTGATGCAATATGATTTTGTAAGTGGTAAAAGAAGCAGGGTGTGGTACCACATGTTTGTAATCTCAGGACTCAGGATGTCAAGGCAGGAAGATTGCTGTGAGTCTGAGGCCCGCCTGGGATAGGTAGAGAAATCCTGTGTCAAAAGTCAAAAAACATTGGTTAAAGAAAAGATGATACATTATCGTACAGAGAAACCCAGATAAGGCCGCCAAAAGATCACATATTAGAAACAATGGAGGGGAGAAGACGTTAAGAAACATCTTTACAATACCAAGAGCAAGCAACCGTCATCTAGCACCGCAAACCTCAGAACAGCTTAAAAACAAAGCTTACCAAAGTGTTTAAGATCTTAAAAGGCTGAAAGAAGGGGTTTGATGAGTAGCAGGCCATCAGAATGTTCACAGAAGTCTGCTAAGAAGATTAAGGTTATGACAGGAGGCACAAGACCTGTGCAACCCCAACCAGACAGGGCCCAGCACGCATGGGGGAGGTAGGCAGGAAGCCCCAGCCCCAGCCTACTGGCAAGTGGTGGACGTTGAGCGAAGGAGAGTCAGTTTTCTTTACTGGTGTGATACCTGGTGGGTTGACCACACCTCAAGGGATAGACATACACCCAAGAGCATTGAAGAAACACAGATTAGACTCACTAGGCCTTTAAAAAGAAAGACAATAATAAAGGACACGGAGTTGGGATGTGGATAATAGGGTGGGTGCAGAGGGGAAGGGAGTCTAAATACAATCAAAACACATTGTATAAGACTCTCAAATCAGTAGAAACTTTTTTTTTAAAAAAAAAAGAATGAAGTCATGCCTGCCACAGAGTTCACAAAGCTGTAAACGTATCTACATGGAAAAAGCATGTTTGTAACAAGATAAATACTTATAGTGTACTAAATACCTGTAAAACCAAACAACGCAAAGAGCCCAAATGTCCCACGGCAGGTGACTCGATCTGTGTAACCTCACAGTGGTCACGCAACTCAATTTCCTACACAGTCAAAGTCTTTTTTTTTTAATTTTTTATTTTTTTAATATTTTATTTATTTTTATTTTATGTGTACGAGTGTATTGCCTGCATATATGTGAGTGCACCCGTGTCACGCAATGCTGTGGAGCTCAGAAGAGAGCATTGGATTCCCCTGGAACTGGAGTTAAGGACAGTTCATAGCCGCCAGTGGGTGCTGGGAATTGAACCCGGGTCCTCTGCAAGAGCAATCAGTGCTCTTAACCGCTGAGCTACCTCTCCAGCCCAGAGTCATTTCTAAAGAGATCTGTAAGTACCAAAGGAGTTATGAGTTCATTCATTTTCCAGTCTTTAGTTTATAGACCATCAACATTTACATTCTCTTCTTAATATTTCCTATTTTATTTTATGTCCATTGGTCTAGCTGACCCAATTGTTTTTTTAAATTCTTTTGAGTAGACATGAAATGTTGACACAGTAAACTGAAAACTCAGAGTATAGACGGCCTTAAGCTTGAACTGAAAGTCTCTCCCCGCAGCACACCTAGTCCCTTTCCCATGAGGTACCCACTCACTCATTCCTACTTTAGTTCTTCTGTGGGAGTTCCATTATTGTTTTACATAAAATGCTTTTATCTCTGTTTCTTGATTTATAAAACTACAGCACATCTATTTTCTCACTATTTCTATCTTTTACATCACTGTTTATGGCTCTTTTATTGATTATGGAGGTAGCTTCATATCTCTGAGTAATAAATTTAAGCCATTCATGTGACACTTTATATAGAACTCAATCCAGGCGATCTGGGCAAATACGCAATGCACAGTGTGGTTATTTATAAAAGCTGCTTTAAAAATAGGTGAGATTCATTTGGAAATCTCTTCTTCAAAAGATTCTGTGCATCAAAATAGAACATGTGGCAGAAAAGAAGAGCTAATTCCTCTGCTTTTCTGTTTAAGACATCTAGGGTACACCGTGAAGAGCTTGCACTCATGGGGGAGTTGGGGCTAAGACGTGCAGAGAAAAAAGAAATGCTTTCTGATAGCTAACACCACCCCCCCCCCAGCAAGTCCTGTGAGGAAGAGACCTGGATGAATAGAACAGGGTCTTGTAGCATTCCTGACAGAATTTTGGCGGGAAGGCACAGAATAAAAGACACAATAGGGGCACCCACCTTAGACACCTAACAGAATAGCATCTCACCCTAAGGATTCAAGAGCAACAAACCAACAACCATAATAGTAATGACAGCAATAAAAATAATGCTTTCGATATTAAGCAGAAAGTACACTGCATTGTTAGTTTTAAACTAAGTTATGACTGATACGCTACCTGTGCACACTGCCCAGGTGTTCATTTTCACACCTTCTCCACTGTGTGCTCACATCCTTCCTCCAGCCCATCATTAACAGCAGAAGAGCTGAGGAACAGTCAACATGGTTCATTCATATGCATGATAAAGTTCAGTGCATTTAAATAAAGAATGCTATCTGAGGTGCATCCCAAACTCTACATAGGGGACAAGAAATAATTCTATTAGATACTTTGAAGGCTTGTGAATTTAAAACTAATGAAAAATTATCAGTCTGTTGACCACAGACCATACAGCTCTTCCCTCACAGGCTTCCCGTGAAATGCACACCATACGCTCTGCCACGCTCTCCCTGGATGTCATCTGTGCTGGGACCCACTGCCCAACCCGCTACACCTCACTCTCCTGTCCTTGATTCACCTTATTCCTGACCTGATCACACATCTTGCAACCTATTCATTCTCCTTCTGCTAGGAAATGACAGGCTAACATGACTTACTTCCCCATAGGGATGATTTCTACTTTGGAGATGCCTTGGAAAATTCTGTGCTATTAGTTTTTCCAATTCTTTTTCTGTGTCCTCCACCATGCCTAGGTATAGGACCTCCATTTTGGTACCATTCCAACCTCTACATTGAGGAGAACACTCACTAGATTGATCCAGCCCATTTCAGAGGATTCATATTTTTAAAATCAAGTAGTTCCCACATACTGCTGTCACATGACATCAGGCTTCAGAACTTTCTAGTTTGTGAATCACTTTGCCACGTAAGATCTAATTTGGTCCTCATAATACTCTTCTGCATTATTCTATTCAACTTGTACATATACACTACAACATCGTAGTCAAGAATCATAAATTAAAAGCTTCATTCTATAATGAAGACTAATGTCTTAAAGACCAGCCTTCTCATGATGAAAAAGACCCACTATATATGCACATACCTTACTTCCTTGGAGGCATCAGAGAGCTTCCAAAGCTGAGGGGATGAAGGGACCAAAACCACAAAGAGAAAGGAAACATGGGAAGTACCTCCGGCTTCCACATTGCTTTTCCCTGACGTCATTTGTACATTCTCTGCTGGGATGCCTGGACAATGAGAACACATAGTGGCTAAGAGGATGAAAAACTGAGCAAATTTCTTACAGGTTTGCAAGATTAAGAGACTAAAAGTTGCTACTCAAAAAGGAAGTTCCCCTGCCCCACTGCCCGATTCCTCTTCCCCTTTTTCATGTCCTGGTTTCTACAGGTACACCAGGTTAAAGACACAAATCTAAGAATCTATGCCGAGATTCACACGAAAGAACATGTGACATTTGTCTTCCTGGGTCTGAGTTACCTCAGCCAGTACAGTGTGTTCAGGTCCATCCATTCACCTGCACAGTAGAATGCAGGTGATATGAAGGGGGAAAGGGACTCATGAGGAAGAAAGTTTAAGTAAGGAGAGGGATGGGAGGGTATGGTGGAGGAGCTGGAGCAGGGTTAAAAAACACAAAGGATATGTGAAAAAGCCTTGTGGATACTATTTTATAAGTTTTCTAAATTATATTTTTTTTTTATATATAGTCATACATTCATATAAAAAAGTTTAGTTGGAGCTACCTTACACAGGGGATATTGCTTCTCCCAGAAGCCATAAGGTGCAAAACAAAAGGCCCAGTGCCACGAGTGGGATACCTCCTCTGGAGTAGATGGTCAGAGGTATACCAGAGAACACCCCCCCCAAGAAAATAATGCAGGCTATTGCTGTTGCTCTTGGTTGCCCACCAGAACTTGATGGTAAGACTTTATTGCTGAAGACACTTTACACTTTGGTCACGGGACTTAAGAAATCAAGTTGATACTGACCAGGAAGCTTCCTCCCTGCTGACCAGCATTCATAGTACCAGAGGTGCTGTGGGAGCTAGGGGAAAGCAGACTGATGGGTTAGTTGTCAACAGTCTTACCGGCATGAAACCTGTGAGCTACGATAATGACCAGCATGGCAGGATATGTCATGGGTGCAGTAGTGACACAAATGTTATGGAGGTGACCAACAACTTTCTGATTGGCTTTAAGGCCCACTTCACAGGAGGAAACACATGCCTGTTATTATAAATAAGTCCAGAAACCAATGTTGGGGGAGCTCACAGGTCCCAGAGGTAAACCTACTATGACTATTCCACCAAATGGACAGGGCATCAAACTGCCCTCTACATTAATATCTCTGTATCTACGGATTAATTCAGCTCCCAGGAATCACCAGAAAGGTTTCTTTGTACAGTGGACAGCTAGTCAAAGTATATAGACTGTGCAGAGTTTATTCACAGATGGGACACTTATATCACATCCCCTCCCCACAAGGCACAGAGACCATTACAGAAGAAGGGGCAGAAAGATTTTAAGAGTCAGAGGTCGGGGAGGACCAGAGTGAAATGGTGTCTTGTAGACATGGCAGGCCCACTGTACTCCTGAACTCACCGCAGCTGTGGTTGCCTGCACGAGGCCCACCTAAGATCAAGCCAGTCAGCATTCCAACATGGAGGAGGGTGGGGCTCACAGACTCCTAACCCTAAACGAGGACCTATAGACAGCTGGTGGCTTCTCAAGGAAGGGGAGTCCATTTTCCTTTAAGGGTGTGGCACCTGGTAGATGCTCCAGTGCATGGCCCCCGCACCCATGAGTGTATACAGACAGCACGAATGGGACTTGGTGGGCTATTAAAAAACAAAGAAGGAAACAAAGTTGGGGGAGCGAGGGTAGACCTGGGAAGAGGGGAGGGGAGGAGTGGGGGTGTATACAATCCAAATAAATTATATGCATGTGTGAAATTCTCCAATACAATGTTTTTTAAAAAGAAAGAAAATTTCATATTAAACTACCCTTGCCATGTTTCAGACCACAGAAAGCCTCCACCTTAAGAATGGGCAGGGGCTGTTGGTGTGACTCGGTGCCGTGGTTCAGAGGTGCAGCACATCTCTAGTACACACCAGGCCTAATGCCCTGAAAAAGCGAAGAGTACACTAAAAAGAAATAAAAGCAAGCCATCATAAAGACTAAATCATAGATTTGAGTCAGCTCAGCAGCTGAGTGGCTTACGTTGGTTGGCCCTAGCTGCTTGACAGATATAAAAATATGCTTGCTGAATGCAGAAAGCACCACGCACAGCCTCCATGAACTCTGCCCTTGGTAGAAAATCAAATGTTTTAGAAAAGAAAACCCTGCAACAACAACAAACATAAATAAAACAGGAACAGAATAAATTAGTATAAAGTTACCAGAAATGCACTTTTAAAATGTCTCCCAATATGTTAAAAGTTAAGTGAAGAGATGGGAATTTTTTTCTTAAAAAATGGGCATCAAATGGCCATTCTAGAAGAAACACATTAGCTGAAATTGAAACTAACAGAAGTTTTCAACAGAGAAAAAAGGCACAAAGAAATGATTGATGAAAGGTCAAAATATTAAGAATAGAACCCAAGAGACAAAGGAATGGAACACAGAAGGAGGTGCAGGCAAAGGAACACCAGGGACACAATAGACATGTGGCCCTGCGTCCTCAGAGGAGAATCAGTTTCAAACAACTTTGACTGTACAATGGCTACAAACCTGAGACGTGTCACCCATTCCAGCGAGTAAATTCAAAGAGAAGTACACCTAAAGCAATGTTGGTAAAAATACTGAAAATCAAAGACAAAGAGAACTTGGAGGCAACACGGGGGGGCGGGGGCGTTCCCTTCAGCTGACAGCGGGGGCTTAGCAGGAAAATTGCAATCCAGGTGACAACAGTAAAAACGTCAATGGATGAGAGAGATGCGAACTACTCATTCAACGCCAGCGTAGAATTCTAACCCCCACCAAATACCTGGCAAAAACAGTAGCAGAAAGACATTTTCTGACATATAAATCCGCCCTAAATCAAATATTAAAGCAGGTGCCTCAGGAAGGAACAGGCAAAGGGTATGAAAAAGCAGGGACCAGAGGTTAAAACACAGGCACACAGTAATGAGTATTATTCAAAGCAACAATGGTAATGACTGTGGGGTTAAGGTGTTAGAGAATTGAAGTTCAATGCAGGAAGGAATAAATGCAATTAGAGAGTTCTGGGGTCCTTCCATTATGTGGAAAATGTAAAATTAAAAATTAATAATAGGAACTATAAGTCAGGCTATATGATATGGTCTTTTAGTAACTACTAAAAGACCAGGAAATATATAACAAATAAGTCAACAAAAAGGGGAAATTAATTATACAAAATATCTCTTCATAAAGATGAGAGGGAATTAAAGTGAATGAGCAGAAAGAGCTGGAACAAATAGAAAACAAATCAAATTTAAATACAATTATATCTATAAATTACTATTAATAATAGAGAACATACTCAAATTAAATAAAATGTTAAAATACCTAGATTGAAAAACTAGGCTGTTTTATGAGACAGAGATAAATATTAAAATATAAAAAATTTAATGGTATCTCCAGCTAGATATAAATGCATATAGATAAAAATAGCATAATACGTAATAGCTCATTAATATCAAAGTCAGTTTTAAATTAAAAAGTAGCACAAGAGATAAAATGAACAAATTGTAATAATAAATAGTTCAATATATCAGGGAAGCACATTAATTTTTAATTTGTAGATACCTAATAGCATAGCTTTAAAATATATAAAGCAAATGATAAAGCTAAAAGAAGATATGGATCAACTCAAAATTATAGAAATAGATCTTGCCACATTATTCTTAGAAACTGATAGACCAAGCAGATAAAACCTTATTTAGTACATAGGTTTCAATAATATAAATAATAAGCACCACGGGCATAGTGGTACACAACTTTAGTCCCAGCACTTGGGAGGCAGAGGCAGTCAGATTTCTGTGAGTTCAAAGCCAGCCTGGTCTACATAGTGAGTTCCAGGCCAGCTGGGACTACAGGGAGACCCTGTCTCAAAAATACCAAAAGAAAAATCAAAATAATAAGCAGCCTAGTGATACATAGATAATAACAGAGAGAGACACGGAGAAGGAATATTCTCTAACGCAGTGGGACAAATTAGAATGTATAGCAAAATATTATGTTAAAAACCTAAAAGGGGAAATTAAGCAATTTATTTTCAAAAATCTTGTGGCTCAAAATATAAATCACAATAGAAATTAGAAAATGCCTTCAACTATGTAACAGCAAGACCATGATGTTTCAAAGTTTGTGGGTTATAGCTAATGCAATGCTTAAGGGAGAGTGATGGTTCTGAACGCGTTTATTATTATCCTAGCATCCTTTCTGAGAACGCAGGAAAAAAGAGGGGGAGACGATATTGTAAAAGCAAATGTTATAAAACATAAAGCAAATATGTGACAGAAAGAATCAAAGCTGAAAGCTAATCTACTGGAAAATTTAATAAAATTAATAAACTAGAAAGACCAGAAACTAGAAGGACAATTTAAGAAAAAATAATGTCTATTAATATGTTTACAGGGAAATGGAGGCATTATTATCTGTCCTGTATAAAGTATTAAAAATGAAGGCTTACAATCCTAATGAATGTAACTCTTTTAAAAACTGAAAAAAATGACTGAGTTAAGAATCAGTGCAAAATATCATACACATACACATAAACACATGCACACATACCACACAGCACAGACATACAGACACACATACACGTACACATAAATACACACATACCACAAAAACATGTAGACACATACATATAGGCACACACGCATAGTACTGCCAACTCTTGATAACCTTGGTGTAAATCACAATTTAAATGAAAGATAGGCAGGCCTGTGAGATGGCTCATGGGGTGAAGATCCTTGCTGACAAGGCTGACAAGCTAAATTCCATTCCAGAACTTACAGTAGGAGAGAATTGACTCTTGCAAGCTGTGCTCTGATCACCACATGCCCACAGGAGTCCATGAATCTACACACATTAAAATAGGTAACTTTTTTTAATTCTGAGATTTTAACCGTTATCATTTTTTAATTATGGATATATGGGAGGTATGTGCGTGTATGTGCAGGTGTCCGTTGGGCCAGAGCTTTGGCTCCTCTGGAGCTGGAGTTACAGCAGTTGTGAGCTACCTGCCATAGGCACTGGGAACC